TGTTTTGAAAGGGAAGTTCTAGTTGAAAATTCAGTTGACAAGTTTCTGTGTAGAATCTATTTCTGTCAGTTCAACTGTCTACCTCAACTTTTCAGTTTAAACCAGCGTTGCCTAACCAAAAAAAAAAAATGACCTTTCTGACTAAGAGTTTAGTCTCATTGAAAGTGAAACAAGTTTTTTGGGGTTTTTTTTCAGTTAGCATTAAAACAGTCGCTGAGTTTAGGTGTGTTCTTATCCAATGGGGTTTCAAAAGCTACTTTATGTTCACAAAATGGCAAAGACATTAAATTAAGTCTTTTTGTTGTTGTTCTTTTAAGTCACATACAGAAAGCACAACCCCCTGCTTTAAATATCTGGTAATAATAACCTGACTCCTTATAGGAAAACGTGTTCAGCAGGTCCCTGAATAACATGGTTTCATTCAATGTCATTCCGTTATACATTGATGAGAAAAAATAATAACTTCCTGGTTGGGCCACTGTTTGTGTGCAGTTTGCACGTTCTCCCCACGTCTTTGCGGATTTTCTCTGGGCCCTTTGGTTTCCTCCCACCCCAGATACATGCATGTTAGGTGAGCTGGCATGTCCGCACTTTCCTCTTCTGAGTGGGTGTGGGTGTGGGTGTGAGTAGCCTGAGCGGGAAGGAGAACCCTCCAGGATGAGTGCCTGCCTTGCCCTCTGAGCTGCTGGGATAGGCTCCAGCTGCCTGTGATCCTGAACTGGAATAAGCGTGATGGGAGAGAATGCTCTTATTTTAATTCATCTTTCTTAAATGTATATACAGTTCACATTTATTTCAGTGTTTTAATATTTGAAACGTTTTGGGTTTTTACTTAGAAGTTTGATGATGTTTTTGGGACCAGAAATGTCTCGTAGGAACTTTACTCATAGATATCAGTTAGACTGTGGCAAGATTGGTTTGGTTATATGTCTTAATTCTCTTGAAGTCATAGTTTCGAAGAACCTATCCACTATATTAAATGAGGACTTACAGTGCTGGTTCAGCCTGCATATTAATAAATAGCTTTTGTTGGTTCATGATTCTTTAGAGCCCAGAAATTAAACTGAGTTTTCTTTTTATCGCTCTCATTCTGAAGTAAGTTTGTTTAACCTGATCGTTTCATTCATATTAATCATCTTCTGAGCAGAATATGTCAGTTATCCTTGATGACACTTAAAGGTTGTTTCAGTTGCAAGTAAATTCACTAGTTTTTCATGCTTCCAAGGATATTTAGTTAATTGTACTTAAGCTGTAGTTTCCGTCTTTCTTTTTTCTACAGTTCAAACAGCAACTAGACTTAGCAAATCCACAGAACATTGTATAGTCTGTCACACCTAGAATCTAAAATATAGCCCTCACTGGTCTGTCTAGAGGGTCTGCCAAGGACTGAAGGGTCCTGGGTTCAATTCCAGTCACGGGCATTTACCTTGGTTGCAAGGCCCTAGCCCCAGTCAGGACTCTTGCAGGAGGCAAGAGTGCCTCTCTCACATTAATGTTTCTCTCTGTTTTCCCCCTCCCTTCTACTCTCTCTGAAAATCAGTGGAAAAATATCCTTGGGTAAGGATTAATAACAACAAAATGCCTATAACCTGCTAAGGAGAAAAAGAACTAACATTTTCTCTTTGTTTTCAAAATTAAGCATCAAAATACAAATATTATTCGCTAACTAATTATTTTCAGTCTTACTTGCATCCTACATCAGAAAACTTAGCTCAGATCAAAAGTCTCAAAGGTGGGTTCAATATAAGAAAAAGAACAAACTAGAAACCCTCAAGATTTTCCCCCCTTCCCCTTCAGTTTTAAAAAACAAATACTACACAATCATTCTGAGTTTTGCCTACAAACTTATATTTTTATATTTTGATTAGTCTGTGTGAATTGGTATTTTTATTCTGTCTTGGAAAGTACTTTTACTATTTTTACTGCTGTCAATAACACACACACACACACACACACACACAAATTTTGAGGCTATAACAGTATTGGAGGAACACTCACAAATGTATCATCTCTACTTAATAATTATGTATTTCATTAAGCATTCTTTTCTTCCAAGAGTAGGACATTATGTTGTTTTTCAAAAAATTTCTGAACTCTGATAATCCACTTTATTATATGAACATTTCTCTGAATAAATAAATTAAAGATGATCATTGATACTCAGGGATTTAGAAGACTTAATGCTTTAAAATATTTTTACTACTTTTGATCACATGACAAAGGTTCTGTAATGTAAAGTCCCTCTCAAACCTTCTGGCAGTCAGCTGTCAAGCATTTAAGTGTTAATTTTTTTTTTCATGAGGAAAGGGATTTCTAGGCTCTAAAGATTCTTCTTTCAAATCTGGACCTGAAATCTATTCACTACTACTTGCATACTTGTGAGTACATCTTCAGATATCTCCTGCAACTCCTTCGAATTATTTTCAAAGGAAAATGATAATATCATGGCCTTAGGTGATCTGACCACATCCGTGCAGCCTTTATTTTAGAGCCAGCCTTGTCGTTTTCACAGGAAATGAACATTTTTTTTTGTTAAAATACAAGTGTCAAGCATTACTTTTTTTTTCTTAAATAAATAAATTTTAGTTTATAAATCTGTATAAAAAGTTATATGGATTGCAGCTAATTGTTAACTTTTGTTAAGAATCATATATACTTAATGAAATGAAAGACTTCTCAATTTTCTGCAATTCCTATGCCCTATAGTTGCTAAATTCATTGGTTGTTTCTTCTCATATAATTTGTACTTTGTTAAGATAAATTATTATAGTGTCTGATAACATTTCTATTAATTTTAAAATTTCACTATAGTGCGTTTATACAGATTTTCCTGTACAAATTCCACTCTTTGTGAACCTAATATTCTAAATGTTTGAGAAATTTTTTCAAAAAATCATTTTCTTTTTCAGAGAGAATATATCTATATCTATATCTATATTTATATCTATATTGTTTATAAAAATCTGGCAAAATTAACTTTTAATCAGCTGGCTTTTTAATTATATAACACATTAAATTGGGACTTATTTTCTCCCTCTTTCCTAGTCATGATACTGGCTTTTGTATGATTTGATGAATTGCCTTGCTGGTGGATTGATGGGAGGACAGCCATATTTTCTAATGAAATATATATACTGTGAGGGAGCTTAAATAGTAACAGCACTAGAGGAAAAAATATGTCTGTTATAACTTGAATGTTATAATAATGGCATTGTATACCAGCTGCAATAGTACACTTTAGTAAGCAATATCCAATTCTCAATCTAGAAAAGAGCTTTCTCAAATTGCTTCTAGCTGGTATATGTTTGGTAGTTTAAGGATAAGCAATCCCAAACTTTGTAGACCCAGTGCATAGTGTCTTTGGCAATATAATTCCCTCAAAAATGTATTACACTGCTGGGCTACTTCTTTGTAGTTAGTGCCTGGTATAGTTAAACCCACCCCAAATATCTTCTGAACAGGGCTCTTCACTGATTTTGCTCCCTCAGTTGAATGGCAGCTACTCTTATCAGTTGAATGACTACACTTAGATGGGAAGGTGATATCCCTTTTGCTGCTAGGATGGCTCTGATTTGTGGTTGACTCTCTTGCTCAATAGGGTATTAGAAACATTGGGAAGGTCCCAATTACTAGATTCTCACATGGTTTAGATTATAGGTCGTTACCAGAAATTATCCTTTCCATCTCAGCTTGCAATTTGGTTATTTCAAGTCTAACTTTTAGTGCCTTGCTCAAAGGAACAAGCAACTTACACTTTAAAACCAATTTTCCAAGAATGACAGGTTTTTAGGTATAGACTATGACTCCCAAATTATTGCAGATAATAGTTTTTATCAGGAGCTTTGCTGTATCATGCCAAGGGTCACTACCTTTCTAGCCTACTGTATCTATATTTTCATTTTCCATCATACACTTAACATATGTATATATGTTGATGTGGCATCTCCCATCTTGTATTAATTTCTTCATTAGTTATAGGCTAAATTTTCTTTCAAAAGACCTTAAAATATAGTGGATTAAACAAGTTGAAATTTTATTTTTCTCTCCAATAGTTACTTTCATGATTCACTCATATACCATTTAAGAAAACAGACTGCATGACCAAACCCAGCTGCACTTGGGTTTGAAAACTTGGAAATGTTCTAGATGACCAGCCATGTGGTCAATTAAAACTTAGAGCATTCAAATACTGAAAGGAAGCAGGGGAACAAGAACACTTAGGAACAATTAGCTATTGCTGCCATGCACGAGTCCAGTGTTTTATCTATCTTTTCATCAAATTTACCCATATTACTTCCTGGATCCTTGTGCTCAGAAGAAAGCTTTTCTATACATACCAGGGGCCCAGTATGTAAAATCGCATTTGACGCCCCACAGGGCACTGGGCCAAGAGCTACTCCATGCACTCCCTGATGACCAGTCGTTTGGTCATTTTGGTCTTGACACCTCCTGGCCTTTTATTATTATGATAGTGCTATAGTTTTAATTCTTCTTCAAATAATTATAATATTCACATAATTTGAGTAAATGTGTATAAGTTCATTGGAGGGTTCAATTATTTTAATAGAGTTTATTAAGGTGTAATTTCAAACAATTTCATGTTATTTCTATTCACCTTGAGACAAAATAGATAACTATAGAGCATTAATTAACACTAGTAGAATTAATTATGCAAAATCAAATAATCACAATTGCATTTTATTTATTAAACTAATCTTTCTGTATATTTTAGTAAATGAGGGGCTTTGCCATTCCACAAATAGGTGTAGATACTATAATATGTTTATTTAGAAAATCATTGAGAAACTATGTGCAAATGAATTTTAAAACATATATTCTATTTCCTGTAGAATCTGTTTAACTGGTTGCTTTAATTATCTAATCACAATTTAAGATTAGTAATTTACCAATTTACATTTCATTATCTGCCACTTTGTAAATTGTATCACCAGTTCTTTGGAATGTTGTCATTAACAGAAAACTTTGTGTTTCAAATATAGGAAGAACATTCTTCGTTTCCTAGATGCAGAACGAGATGTCTCTGTGGTCAAGAGCAGTTTTAAGCCTGGTGATGTCATCCACTATGTGCTTGACAGGCGCCGGACACTAAATATTTCTCAGGATCTGCATAGCTTGCTCCCTGAAGTGTCACCGATGAAGAACCGCAGGTTTAAGACCTGTGCTGTTGTGGGAAACTCGGGCATTCTGCTGGATAGTCAATGTGGAAAGGAGATTGACAGTCACAATTTTGTAATAAGGTGAGTTTTCTTTTTTTCCTAAAGATTGTAATTTCTCCAAAGAAGTTTAATTTAGAAGTACAAAACTGGCAGGAATGTTTAAATCTAACAATAATATCAAGGATTATTGAAAGCTCAAACAAATATTTATCTACAATATATTTTTCTGTGTCACATCCAAATTTACATTTACCCTGAAATATAAAATTATTATATCATTGAAATAAAAGATTCATACCAGCATTTTTCATCAAATGGCAATTTTATTGTATTTAATACCATATAAACTTTTTATTAATATTTATTCATATTTATCAATTTAATATTAAATAATTCATGTGTATGGAAAATTAATTATATGTGTGAATGAATTAATTCAGTTAGTTATGTTCACAATTCTCTTTAAAGGAAGTATATTATATTACTTTATTTGTTTACAGACATTACAAATATTAATATGCAGTGATGTAATAGATGCAAATTAATTTTACTTTATACTGATAATTATTTAGCAGATTTCAAGGACATAACTTAACAAGTTTATATTTGATATATTAGGCCAAATTATCTTCATTATCTTTTATGTGGTATTTGTATTTGTTAGTATATTTTAATTTTTGAATTTTCATACACAATTAAACACACCTGATGGTTTGTCATTGAGGGTAAACAGATATTTGATGAGTCTTGTGCTTGGTTAACTTTAAATTAAATGAAGAAAACACAACTGTAGACATGGGATTGTGATGGTATCATAAATATTAGTAACTTATAATTCCTGGTTTTTATATCTGAACAGAATTTTTTTGCTTATTTATTTTTTCTAGGAAATTCACTGAATAAATGAAATATGTATACTGAAATGTGTAACAGAGCAATATAATGATAGATAAAAAGTATGCTGACTTGCCATGTTGACAAATAAACTGATCATAAATAGGCCTTTATTGTGCATCCCTTTTTCCCATCTCTGTTGTCCCCATCTTCTCTTTAGCCTAGACCACTTTCTTCTAAGTGTCCCCTTTTTTCTTTTGTTTCTCAGTTCCTGCCATGCTTGACCAATTCCCTCCTAACTTCCTCTTGGTTTATATTTTTTCCCTAAAATTTAAGAACAGCAATGAGATAGTTAAAACATCCATTTAAATATATCCACATTTATATAAGTAAATCTTGGCTGCTCAAATCACAGTTATCAACTACCAGCATCAATATTATCTGGTAGCTTGTTAGAAACAGAATCTCTGAACTTGTACTGGAGCTGCTGCATCCGAATGAGCATTGAGCAGAGTGCTCAGGTGATTTTTATGTGCATTAAGGTTTGGGAGGTACTGAACAGCTCAATATGCCTGGACAATGCTTTAGGCCAGTGGTTGGCAAACTGCGGATCGCTGCTCTGTTGATTAATGAGTTTGCCGACCACAGATCTAGACTCTCAATTCCAATAATTACAGGCTGTTGTTCCTTGTGATTAAGCCCCTATTTAGTGGTTGGCAAACTCTTTAGTCAACAGAGCCTCAGTTTGCAGACCACTACGCAAGCTGATATCTCCAACAAATCTGATTTATTAACCCTGTGTCTTAATGATCTAGTACCATAATTGGTATGAGGTATATAGTATTTATTAAATTAAGAATTAATGTAGGATTTGAGAAAATTTTGGTTCTTGTTCATGTATTGTTGTCTTAGATTTACACAGCACTGTATTCCAAATTTAACATCTAAGTAAAATTCATTTAAACCCTTACAATGAAAAAGAAAATATAGGACTATGAAGAGTAGTTTAATGAAATGTTCTAGATATTAAGGATCAGAAAATTGGGTTCCTGACAATTACGAGAAACATCATATTGGACAAATGTCTTAAGTTGCTAAACATCATTACTTCTCCTCTCCAATGGTATTAATAACAATAGACCTATTATTTCAAAGTGTTTTTCTAAAATTCAGATGGAGAAATATAGTAAAGAAATGCATAAACTGTAAAGTTAATAATGATTGATACTAAAGTTCATCTTGTTTGAATTAAATGTTGTAGTTGAAAATTAAATTTGTCACTGCATTTTCTAATAGCAGTGTCCATGGACTAGAAATAGAAATTCTCATTGTCTGATATAAACAAAGAACAAACTTCCGCCATATTTACCAGATATGTGTATAGTTGCTGCTGAATAATATGAAATGCAGACACATGAACACTGCTCAAACAGATAGGAATATCTATAAAATCCAAATACGTAAAATTGGAAATAGTTGTAGTGAATGTATGTATTTCTTCAGGAAACTAAAGAAATAAGATAAACAGGTTTTACTTTATGATGCTGTAGCTTCCTAAGAGAAAGGATGATATGTTTCACAGAAGAAAAAGATGGAGGAATTGACTTGCTTTGACTGATACAATGTGGTTTTATATTTCAATCAAGTTTCATTCTCCACTAGTGGATAATTTACAGCAAACTTTAAATCATCCTCTTGATATTCTATGAATGCCTGCTTTCTTAGAGCAAAATAGACACTTTTCTAGAAGAGGGGGGGAAAAAGTCTGCTTTCCTGTGTGTTCACAAAATGTTTTTTTTCAGGCTCTCTCAGAATATGTTTGTTTTTAACTCAAATGTTTTACATGAAAACAGCTAATTTTCTGGTAGGGATCCAGGTCCAGGGAATTATAAAGATTTTTTTAAATTCTTATTGATTAGAAAAAGTAATTTATATTTTAGGAATAACAACATTAGTTATGTGATATTACTACATATGTGTTCTACCTTATTTTTACTTAATATATTATTGATATTTTTAATCAATGACATTTTAACATTTCTTAAACTAATTTTCTTTGTGATATATATTAATTATAAAATATTGGTAGAAATCAGAATTTTTATTTTATTCTTATTATTAAATATTTTAAAAATATAACAGTGTGGTTATTACGGGAATGGAAGGAGATAATGGAGGTGGTAAAGGACATAGAGAGTATAAAAGCTTATGAAAAAATATAACAAAATAAAATTTAAAAAGTCATCCTCAAACTAAATAAGGAATTTCTTATTTCTTATGATGTGAGGTAAGGCTCTAACTTTTTTTCCCAACCATGTCACTCCTTGGATAAAGAGGTATTATTTACAGTAGATAATTTTTAAAATGGAAATGACAATGACTGATAAACTATTTTAAGTTTGAAAACATTTTTTTTCTAAAACTAGAGTATTATAAACAGATACAGTCACTCATCTATCAATCCAGCAAGAACTTTAAAGTTTTGCATATTCAGTACAAAGTTTCAGTGATATTGGAACTCATGTAAAACACTTTAAAATTGTAAATTGATAAAACTTTCCTAAAAATCAAGTTGATAATTTCTAACAGGTCTTAAAAATAGTATGTTTCTCTACTCAGTATTTCTAGGTACAAGAACCTGTGCAAATGTGTATAACTATTTAAGTAGAAAGGCATTTTATAATGACAAGAAAGGACAAATAAATCATCATACACCTGGATGATTAGTCATTCAACACATGGAAAAGAGGAATCTAAGGCACAGGAACCAGTAAGCACAAAGACAAATGCTTCCTGTGGTCTTTGGATAAAGCAGAGTTTGTGACCATTCTGTTATCACATTCATAATGAGCATCTGTGTGAAAGGGGAAATGGCAAGGAATAGGTGCTTAAATGATGAAGTTGTATTACACCATGTTAAGGATTTACATGATATCCTGTAGTCCAAGAAAAAACCTTAGAATTTTTTTTTGGTTTCTTGGCTTGTTTTTGTTGAGGTTTTTTGCTGTTGCTATATTTAGAGGTACAGAAGCATGAGCATGTTTGCAGATGGAAGGACCATCCAATAAATAATCAAAGATCAGAAAGAGCAATCAATAAACTACTATAAGAAGCAAAAGATGATAAAATCTAAGTCACAGGACAGAGTAAGGTGATAAACCAAGCTTATATGGTATGATTGGTATTAATGTAAAATATTGTAGAGATCATCCTTTCCCGATATCAAATGAGCATTGGTAAATGGGCATTGATCTGTCCTTCTATAGATTTCAAAGTGTGGCTTCAGTTTTGGGTTTAAAGTACTTGTTATCTTTCATTTATCAAACTCATCTGTAAGTGATCATAGGCCTAAATATGTACTCCAAAGCCAAATGCAAAGGTTTCAGGTCATAGATAGCATTGCTTTGATTTTCCTTATAATTTATTGATGAACCCCTTCACTTTTTTATTTGCCTGTTTTAGGAAGTAGAGATACAGAAATGGAGATCAGTCTGTACATTGAAATGACCACAGTCTAGTAGAGATAAAATAATGAACTAGTAAGGTGCATATTGCTTTTTTAGAGGTACGCAGAGAAGTAGGCACTGGTAACAAGGCACAAAGTAGACATAAGGGGTGGTCAAGGATGATTTCCTGAAAGAGACAGCACTTGAGCTGTGTCGTGAAGGCTGAGGAGGCAAGTATAGAAAGGAAAGGAAAAAGCATGAGACCTAGTCCACACTGGATCTATGGTGTGCAAAGGGACCTGGGCCTGGGATCAAGCGGCTTTCCCAGGACCAGAAGTAGTGTCAGCATGCTGGAATAAAGGGTTGTGTGGGCATATGGAAGCAGGCTGGGTTGGAGAGGGAAGCTGGGAGAGGGTCATTCCTTCCTAAGGGGGTTGGGCTTAATTTTGCATAAGGTCTGTGGAGTCACTCAGTTGAGGAATGGCTTGACCAAATTTAAATTTCAAAATACATCTAGGTGATAAATAAATTAGTGGAAGACAAGCACAGTAATACTGAAAAGAGTTTAAAAGTAAAAATAATAAATGATAAAGTAAGACAGTGACAGTGGGAGTCACTTGGAAGCAAATTAGGAAAACCAATGAATGATATATGAATAGTAAAACAAATAGAGAGTGGAAATGATGGGCATTGGGGGCAAATGTGAGTATGCTTCTCTTTAAAATGTAACTTTTTAGGGGGACGACAGAAAATGAAGACTCCAAATAATATTCCATTATATTTGGGTTTAAGGTATTTGTT